ATAAACACTCCTAAACCTTGTGGACAGCCTTCCCAGAAGAGTTGAAGCTGTTCTAGCTTCAAAGAGTGGACCAATGTCATATTGAACACTATGAATTAGGAATGGGATGTCACTTAAGCTCATATGGGAGTCAAGGCAGATGAGCAATACTTTTGACAATATAATGTAGCTGGTGTCTATCTCCAGCGGTCATTGAGTGAGACATGGTGGTACTCCATGGACAGGTTGCCAGTCCATCACAAGGCCACATAGAGACAACAAGACAACCAACCATTGACGCTCTTATTCATACCTAGTGACATATTAGAGTTAGGGCTTTTATTTAAAAAGGATGACTGATATTTTAGTCAATGCTAAGCAATAAGCAATATAAGCAATGACAAAAGCAGGAAACCAAAGGTACCTAAGTTTGGGGTGCCGTTTGTGAAGTTACACCATTAGAAATTACCACCAATATTTTTGTTTTATTTAGCCTTTTATAAGAAAAAAAGAACAGATTTATTTTTCAAAGTCCGTTTTTCACCATATAATTCATACATTTATAAATGTCATAGTTTATAAACTAAATATTTAACTTGCTAGCTAAATATTTAGGTGGCAGGCTAAATATTTAAGTTGCAACCTAAATATTTAGGTAGCTAGCTAAATATTTTAGTTTCAAGCTAAAAATTTTGCTCAAAACTAAATAAACTATGACATTTATAAATGTATGAATCATTTGGTGAAAAACTGGCTTTGAAAAATAAATCTGTTCTTTTTTTCTTATAAAAGTCTTAATAAAACAAAAATATTGGTGGTAATTTTTGACTGTGTAACTAAACAAACGGCACCCCATACCTAAGTGTCACAGTACATCAGTGAGTGGGTATGGATTTTTTTAAGTCACACTGTCAACACTTATCTCTAGTTTGATTCAGTGTGTGTCGTTTGGAGGTGTTTCATCATGTTTTCCTTTAACATCACCAAGGTTGGCTCTCGGGTAAAATAACATTGAATGGCAGAGATCCATTGCCGTAAATCTATCCTTAATTTTCTTTTTGCTCTCCAGTTGTCTGCCTGTGCAATGCATGATAGCTGACAATTTTATTGAAGAATAGCTATCAGAAGAGAGTAGGAATTAGATTTTGCTTTATGTTGTGCTGTTTTCATCAACAAAATGTCTTTTGTACACGCTCAGACAGCATTTGTGTTTTGCAGACTTCTGTTTAGGTGAATATCAGATTGTCCTTTAGAATGCCTCCTCCACACAAGAAGGGAGTTGTTTGTGACAAGTTATCGGACCTTAAATGATGTCTGTAATGGTGGATTTGCCACTGACATGGCCTTTCATGAAGAGAAGAGAGGGGATTGTCAGCGTATACTGTATAATAAAAGATTCCATCTGCAGCTGCTGCAGTAGTTTGATGCAACTCTAACTTCAAACTGTCATAAATATCTTATGGTTTAGGATTTAACCTTTTATGGTGAGAATAATGTTTTTGTTGCTGTCAGTGTGCATTACAGGTCTAATTTAAATGGTTACAATTGACTTTTCTTTCAAAGGTGGGGGGGGGGGGGGGGGGGGGGGGGGCTGCATGCACTCACCAGCTGAGTATATTTAATATTTTCTCCAAAAGCCACACACAGATATCCACCTTTTAGTCCAACATTATGCAGTTTCTTATTTATTTTATTTTTTTAACCTTTGTTTCTTTTGTATATTTCTGATTAAACCTGTTTCCCACCTATTAACTGAGAATAACTCTCAGATGGGGAGGAGGACAGCTGTAATCTCTGTCTTCAGTCCATCTCAGACCCTTAGTGGCAACTCTGAACCACTTCAGAGTTCTCTGGAGCAGTCTGAACTTTTCTTGAGAGTAAGAGTGATTCTTAGACTGAAGAATTTTGATAACTGGTACTTACACTTAAGTCTGAGAGTAGGAGCAAATCTAAGGGTGTATTCAGACCAGGAAAGTCCTTTGGTCCAATTGTTTGGTCCTGACCAAAAATGGACTTTTTTTTTCGTTTGGTGTGGTTTGCATTCACAGTGTGCTTTTTTTGCAAATTAACTATAACTTGTAAACAAAGCCACGAGGCTGACGATCATTGCTCCCATTGGACAAAAAAAGGACGGGGGCGGGACTGAGCCACAGACCCAGAAAAAAACAAGGAAGTCCTGCATGTTGCAGTTCTGATGCACATTTATGCTGATAGTGCAACTGCAATAGCATTTAAAATGTCAGAAGCAGCTAATTTTAATGGTGGTTCCGTGATGATATTCTAATTTTGGAGCGACGTCAGTAAATGTGTCCCCCAACCCAAAGGAGACGAGGTGCTCTGCGTGTTCTGACCCACAACATGCTGCAGCAGAGCTGCTAACAGGATACGATGATACAGGTATGTTTTCAGTTTATTTAGCTCAGCAACGGTGGCCTGTGAAGTCCAAAAAGGTGCATGTTTAATGCAGTTGGTTCGGTTAGAGTCCGGTCTGTATTCAGACCAGAAGAGAACTAAAGTGAACCGCACCAGAGTTCGTTTGAAAGCGGACCGAGACCACCTCAAAAAGCAGGTCTCGGTCCGGTTGTTTGATCCGCACCAGAGTTCACATGAGTGTATTCACACCTGGACAAAAGGTCCGGACCAACGCTGGAAACAAACGCTGGTTCGTTTAAAGCGGAGCAAATTATCAGGTCTGAATACGACCTAAGACATTTTCAGCACTTACGTCTAAAAATATACTCTAAGAAGTTTTATAAACACTGGCACTGGCCACTGTGCCGGAAGATCTGTTTACTCACCTGCTGGTCCCTCCTCTCTGCGTTGATCTTCTCCTGGACTCTTGTAAGAAACGAAAAACAACATTAATCACTCATTACATGTTGAGACTGATTATGTTGAGAACCTGGACTCACCTTGTTGCTTCCCTCCTCTTCTAGATCCAGAACCTTCCCACTGCACCTGTAAATAAAGCACTTACCGTATTGTATTAGTATCTGTGTCTGGTCACTTGGTCCTGCTCAGCTCTTGACAAACTCAGATCCTTGTCAATAGTAGGTTAAAACAGCTACGTACACTTGCTGTTTTGAACAACTTTGTCAGCTTCATTTGGTCTCAGTTCCTCACAGCACCAAGCACAGTGTAAAAGCATCTGGCAAGACCATGCACAGCAAGGACTTCTTTGCACCATTTAAAGTGTATCTTACCCC